CTTATTGAATATTGAGAACTTACATATAGTTCAGTCAGAATTTAAAAAAGTGTTTGATTTTTGAAGAAAATTCATGGTTTTTTACTATTGTTGATTGTTTATTCATGTTTATATTATCTTCTTCAATTGATATACAATTTTGCTGATTTAACATCACCCACCTTGTGTTTTTGCCCATAAACCTCTTGCAGATAGCCATTAAACACTACCTGAGGACAAAAATTTCTTAGATATTGCTAGTTTCCAAACATTCATTCATTCCCTTGCCGTTCATCACTACCATTACGGCACCTTAGATTGATATTCGCACAAAACCGTTCAGGATTTTTGATATCCATACACCCACAAAGTTGAATACTTTTCGTTGTTCAAACATCCACACTATATTTACAGTGATTGAGAAATACCCAAATATGTGTCGTAAAGCTCCCAGCTAACCTAAAACCTGCAAAAAAACTATAATTTGCAATAATTTTCGTTCTTTATGGTGTACACATTCTAGGTTATATAGATATTATTTGAATTCAAACAATAAACTACAGTAAAATAACAGCTCATTATCTCCTGATATTTCAAAGCTCCCCACATCGACAAGTGACGCATAATTCTGTGGGATCCGTCAACGCTTGGTCGCAGTGGAGCAAACTAGCCCAACTGCTAAAATATACTCTAGTGTGATTTATAAGACTATATACGTAATGGAATTTTTCCCTAAATCGTTGCACAACACTTGATAAAATGCAAATGAACATTTTAAAATTAACTCTGTGACGCCCCAAATGGCTCCGTCAGTACCTTTGAAAGCTTGTCGTTCTTGCCAACTGGGCTGCGGTGTTCCATTTACTATTTCAGTAAAATCTTATGAAAAAAAGATGCTCCAAATAAAATATTGACGAATATGAATGGATATCCATAGAATTTAGAATATAAATTCATATTGCAAGTTTCAGATTGTATATGCATGGACTTAATTTTATATAGTCTTCGGAATTCTATGCTCCATATCAATGATATATGCATACACACTCGAGCAGTCAGGCACACGAGAGGAGGAGATTTGGGTTGCCTATGATTACGAACGCACATCCTCATCACTTACTCGGCTTGCCCGGAATTGATTTTTAATCGTACAAAAGGTACAGACTGGTAGATTACCGGACCCGACAAGCAATAAAGAAACCGAAACCAGTCTGTTTTCAAAATAAATATTTAATAAAAATGTCAGATAAGTTCATGAGTTCAGGGGTAAAACAGAAAAATATTCACAATCCTATAAGCAAGGATCGAAAAGGAGTTTCCAGAATGGTTGCAAAGGACTTTTATCGAAAACATTTTAGATACACTCTAGTCGTAAAAAATACATATTTGAATTATTTAGACCTACAACTAATAGAACATCCGAACAAATCAACAATGTGCGAATAAACGCGCGAAGTTAACAAAGCAACAATTGAAAGATTACCATTGGGTAACATCACCTTTATTTTTTATTACGGCTGAAATTCTTTGGGGCATAGTGTTAACCAAGTTTTGGCAAAAATTTGGAGTAAAACAATCCCATACTACTTGAAGCTTTTGTCTCAGTACGAGCAGGACATTGTCGTAGAACGTTTTTCATCTCGTGCCACAAGGTTTCAATAGGTGACAGAAATGTACTACTAGAAACCCATTTCAAAAGTGGTACATTATTTTCTTCCATCCATTTTATAGCCTTTTTTGAGGTATGGTACGCTGCACCATCTTGCTGAAACACAAAATCTTGGCCGGATGTCAAGCATGCTTCCATCACTGGTAAAAGCGATTCTTCTAAAATTGCCAAATATTTGTTTGTATCCACATTTCCATCAATAAAATGAAGTTTTCCTACTCCTTTTGGTGACATACTGCCCGAGACCATAATGGTTGCTGGAAATTTCACTTTTCTCTTCAGACAGTCAACATGGAATGCTTCATTTTTTTTTGCGAATAACTCTACTGCGACTGTCACCAACAGAAACTTCAAATCGGGCCTCATCACTCCATCATATTGTACACAATTCTTGAGGTGTCTATTGTCTATGTTCTTTAGCCCATCTAAACCGATTTTTCTTTTGCAGTAGAGTTAATAGTGGCTTTTCTTTGGCCTATAAACAAGTTGTGCAACTTTAGGGTTTTTACTTTCTTATAAGGAAACTTTCCTTGCAAGTCCTAAATCCCAGTTTGTGGGCCTCCCTATGAGTTGTAGACCTCGAAATTGTCCTTCCAACAGCGTCACGCCACAGAGCACTTAATTGTAAATAATTGGCACGCCTGTTTTTCACGATTATTCTTCTTAATGCTCTTCGGTCGGCATTTGTGATATTACTTTTTTTCACATATCGTGGCCTAATATTAACTGAACCGGTTACGTTATATCTTCTAACAATATTTCTCACCCTGTACCGCGATAAGTCTAACAAAGTTGCAGTTTCTGAGTTTGATTTCTCAGAATTAAAAAATTTAAGTATCATTAACCTAATTTTCTCACTAATAACCTTTCCTCTACCCATTTTGAAAACCTTAACTACCCAAAACTATTTTAAACGTATTCTGACAGCTGTGATTGAAAAAAAAACAATTGTAATGGCTTTTATTTTTCACAGCCACCTATGCGTTATAGACTTATTTTGCATTGAAATAAAAATAGGTTGATATGCTTTAATTGCAACATGTGTTATTTTTATGCTGTAAATTTGATTAGGGAGTGATAAAGTTGGTGTTTTCTAATATAGATTATCAAAATATTTATTGTTAATATTTTAAACCTATAACACCATGCCACATTTTTATTATGTTTGATAAGAAAAAACTAAGATTTCAATAGTTGGGCCAACAGAAGTGGGAAGGGGCTCGTAGAACTATACCCCTAAAAAAATGTGGTGTGGGCGCTAAATAAAATAATAGACACTGATATTGGACGGAATTTTTCCCTATACCAGATTCACCGACATTATTTACTGATACCGCTTTTTTCGGTTCGGCAGTACTGCAGAAAACTTCAAAAGCGATTAAAATTCCAGATGTCTTCCAAAGAAAGATATAAGTTTTGCAAATATTTTGATTCTAACTTATAATATCTAGACGATGCATAATTGGTGGATGCGGATACATTTACAAATATCGATGTTTTGGGACCCAGGAATGCAGAATGTGCTGTTTGTTTACATTTGGTGTGGATCTCTGGATCATAAATTGGTAATAAATTGTCTTTGATGTAATAAAAGATGATGAACCAGTTGGAATACGTTTTATATCCTTTTACGAACAACACCATGTATGTGATATTGGGACAAAACTAGACTGCCACGCATGGACAGTCGTCGAGAACAGCGATTGATCCATTCAAATAAGTTTCTGTCCTTTATGAATGATAGAAATTGGCAATTCAATGAAAGTTATCCTAATTCTAAAGCTAAAAGACCTGGTATCACATCTAGAATATACCCTTATTTATAGAGCAACCGCTTTTTCACGATTTTGTTAAATATGTCAATAGAAATTACTGATGTCAAATTGCATTTCAATAATCTGTTCCCTAATTGGTCGAAGACCCCGTTAGATTTTAATGTTAGTGAAATCGGCCGTACGAATATCAGATGCAACTACTACAGCATTTCGCATATACTCAGTTTCTTACTTCTCTCTCATTGCGTTTTAATTCGATGCAGCAAACACATAATTATTTTGCATTGGTTATTGATCTGTTTTCTATGAACAAATCAAATCCTCCCAATTTTATCTAAAAAATCCTTAATGGGTACGGCCAGCAAAGAAAAATCTCCCATGACAGCTGGTGATGATAATGGATACAGCTCAATGTAAAATGAAATTTTAAATCCTCCCTTGGACGTTCCTCAAGGAAGCGTCATTGTTTCACTGTTTCCAAGGAGATATTTATTGTCTCCAAGGAAGCCTCAAGCCTTAAGGAAGGTCTATAAATTTGACTCTTAGAGCCCCAGCTCAGGCCATAAAGTCATACCGCACAAACGATCAAGAACCTGTACATAAGTCAAAGAAACTGTTTTTTGTGATTGACTCCAGATTTTGTTTACATTTATAAGGATCCATACTTCATCTTTTGATAATATTAGAATATTAGTTTCATGCAGATGGATTTACATGGGGAATTCGAACATTAAAATGGTAAGAAGCTCGTATCAAAAAATTGTATAGAGGAATAGTACCACATCTTAACACAAATAGCTATGTTGAGATGTTCCAAAATGGTTTGCAGGGTCGAAGTTATGTATAAAACTTATGATATGGCACTCTCTTACTTGCTATAGTACGATGCGACATCGTGAAATAGTGAATTCAAAAAGCGCTTAGAAAAAAGTCTATTAGACTCCGCCGTATTTCAATATGATGAGTTTGAGAATTTTGGATATCTTAAACATCTTACAAAAAGTCTTGTGTATTTTATAATCTTGGAAATTTCAAATACGTTGAAAGTTTCAAAATATTGGATATTGAACATCTAGAAGATAGGTATTGAGGATTTTAAAAACTGAGAAGCATGAATTTTTTCTAAATTATGAATGTCTCAGAAAGTTTTGTTGAGAATTCTGATAATTTGGAAAACTGACATCTTAAAAATTTCGGAGAATTTTGGAATCTCGCAAATTTTGTGAGTTTTAGATATTTGGAGATGGCAGATTCCTTATGGTAAGTATATTCCGGTAAAACTGGATGAAATTTTAGTATAGTAATCCTCCATACGAGTCTGATCAACCATCTCCATAACACTGTAGTATGTAGTTATATCGGTGACTTTATGGTTACAGGATGTTTTTCAAAATTGAAGATACAACAACTAGCTGAAAATACGCTCATAGATACATGAATGCCCCAGAGAGTGATTTTTATCATTTTCCGATGTCAGACATGGTACTTTAACTTGAGAAGTTACACAAACGTAACATTTTGAAATCAAAATATTTTTGCGAAACAACTTCAAATGTCGATTATTTTCATAAAGCAACTTATATGCCTATATCTCTCGTTTCTATTTTGAGAATCAAATGAGGTATGCGAGAACTATGGATATATGATGACTTACATAGTAGTATAAGGGGGCACTGGGGAGCCTTAAGACTGCTTGAGATAAATCCAGGTACTCCACTGCCTGTAGAATATCCTTTTCTTTCTATTAGTACGTAGTATTTCCGAGCACCACTTACAACGTCCGAGGGAAAACCGCTGCGCTGACAGGTCGCTCTAACTATATTAATCTAAATAAGAGCAGAACGTTGGCCATATTTCTTAATAATACCCGACGCGGAGATCTTCCAAGAAATCGTTCTGCTAAATGCACTTTTCGCGTCGCTGTTGTCTTCTCTGGGTTAACTAATTCTAAGTAAACCGTGATAAATGTTTGCCGAGTGAACAGGTCGGAAGTGTTTAAACGGAAGCAACAAACTGCTAAAGAAGTGCAACTGAAACTTGACACCATAGTTATTTTCCTACAGACGAGCCGGAAAGTATTGCTACTGGAGAGTTTTTAGTGCAACATGTCACCTGCTCGCTAGGTGGCAGCAAGATTGGTGGCGCAGGAACTTATTGCTAGGCTTTTGACTAGATCATAGTGATATGTCAAACGTCAGATATGGAAAGTGAATATGACTAGGCAAATGATAAAACACTGATTAAAAAGTACGTGTGAGGGTGACATACTTAGATCAGCCAGTTATAAGAGCGATTGTAACCAGTCATACTTGCTAGGAAAACTTCCGACATCTACTAAACCAAATACCGTTTCTGAGTAAAGGAGCCTCGGCACTGGTACTACGTATCTTGAAAAGTGACATTATGTGGCACGGGTATTATGTAAAAAAGCTATGAAACGTCAAAAAAAACCTATAAGATGTCATCTTGCAGACTAGGTAGTTTTAAGGATGCAAACAGTCATTCCACGTTTGCTCACTAGGATCGTTGTGAGCGTTCATCTATCGAGGAATGGATCAACTACACGTACAAGCATTGTTGGTTGCATATGTTTTGTGAAGCCGAGTGATCTATAGTTTTCATCTCTGAGTCTTTGAGTAGAAAGTTGGTTATTTGGTTGAATAGCAAGATCGCATCTGGATAATTGTGTGTACTAATCTGCATGTGTATAAAACCAGTGATATTTGCTGTGTGAAAATTATTACTGAATATGCTGCCAAGGAAGTATATAGCAGTGCCCGATAGGCTATTTAAATGCTGTCCTTTCAAAGTTAACAAATACGATTTTTACGTTTTTTTGTGTTTTTAAAAACATTGAAGGGAATTACGGGAAATCACCATCGCGCCCGGGTTGCTTGTAACTACTGTTAGCATTTATATGACTTGTAATTCGACAGTGTACAGTGAATATAATTATTTCTTATCTCTTTCAATTTGAAATTCAACAAATTTGCAATTGTAACTTCCAGAATGGATAAGAGAAAGTGGATGAGCAACTAATTTCTAGCTTTGAATCCCAAGTAAGTGTATTTGAGACAGGAATCCAATGGAATTGCCATCAACACATATTATTAGCACAAAAATCCTCACTGTGCCGCAACCTCCAGTAATGCCATCTCTGAAGCAGATTCTACATCACATCATAGCCAAACATTGATAACTGAAGCCTGATGACAATTAGGTAACTCGTAGAACTACAAAACGAGTTTACAAGTCTGCGTATCAGCTAGTGCTAAGTTAACATCTTGTCGAAAAACTTACATAATGTCAAAAAAATCGATATAACGTCACTTTTCAAGATACATTATACCCATGCCGATTCTTTTTTTGACATTGTATTGGTTTTTTGTGACATTATGTAGATTTTTATACAAGATTTTAACTTAGCAGTTAGTTGTACGTGTTGCCTAAACGTCATGAGGCTTCAATTATTAATGTTTGGCTCTGATGTGATGCAAAATCTGCTTCAGACATGGCACCACTGGAGGTCTAAGCTGTAAGTTATATGTCTTGATGACAATACCATTGGCTTCTTGTCTCAAATACATTTACTTGAGATTCAAAGCTAGAAATTAATTGCGCATCCACTTTTTCTTATCCATTCTGGAAATTACTTATGCAAATTTTCTGTAATCCAAAAACGAGAGAGATAAGAAATAATTATATTCACCGTACACTGTCGAATTGCAAGACACATACCTGCTAACAGTAATTACACACGACGCGGGCGCGGGGGTGATTTCCCGTAGTTCTTTCCGGTTTTTGATAATTGATAGCTTTGAACACCTCTCTTCAGAAAGCATAACACAAATAACCCGTCGGGCATAGCTAATAGATATAATTCGTTCGCAGCGCATTCAGTAGTGATTATCTCTATCAACAAGTATCACTGATCTTATACACACGCCGAGCAATACTCATAATCATCCAGATGCGATCTTGCTATTCAACCAACTTTCTTCTCAGAGATGAATACTACCAGATTACTCGGCTGTACAAAACCTACGCAACCAACAATGCGTGTTGTTGAGCTATTCCTCCATAGGTGGACGCTCACAACAATCCTAGTGAGCAAACGTAGAATGACTACTTCCACCCTACAAACTCCTCAGGCTGCAAGATGACATTTTATAGGTTTTTTTCTTGACGTATTATGGGTATTCTAACATAATACCCGAGCCGGTTACGTTTACAAAGCGATACAATGCAAGCATGTCTAGCTGAGATCTAAAAAACTTATGCAGATGGAACTTGAATGACAGATGGGTAGGTGTAGTAAAAGTAATGGAGCGGATCCGTATGTTTCCAGAAAAGGTGGTTTTGAAAACTGTGAAAGTCAGGTTGTTACTAACTTTGAACACGATATTCAGTGGTGATCAAGGATTTGACTTTGAGCCTGACCTTTAAGGTTATTTCAAAATCAATCCTTAGTTTTTTGACGTCGGAAATCAAAAGGGGATTTCGGCCGTGCCTTTGCATTTGATTTAGAAGCTAATCTTCAAAGTTATTCAAAGGTGCATGTCGGTACGACCGCTCCTTCGTTCCTGTGATGTCGAGACTAACGGAGAAGTTTTTTCAGACAGTTCAAAGATTCGATTAACAAGCCGTCTTCAAGTTCCTTACAGCAGTCGCGGTGCACCAATATTTATTTATTTATTTATTTATTTATTTCCAACAGGTAAAACCCAATTACAGGAAATGCTGAAAAAAATAGCAATTAAAGAGACATGGTTCTTGGACTTAAATCTATAGTATCACACATTCTAAATAAGATTAGATGATCTATAGCAGTTAATAATCGATGCACAACAGTCACAGTAAATATCACACGATTCAGTAACACTGTTCATGACGCAGCACATGAGATTAATTGGCGATTTTGTCATAACATTTGTACGGCCAGCTTGACAATATAATGCCGTTTGTTGTCGACTCCCTAGCCTTGGAACGCGGAAACATATTTTTTCAAGTAATTTTGACAGTCAATTTTATTGTGAGTGAGGCCATACAAAAACGACAAAGCAAATATGTTTCGTCTTGTTGACAGTGAATCCAAATTGAAAAACTCTAATAGGGTACTATGTTCACAACCTTTTTCTGGATAAGAACCTGTGCATTTAAGGTGAAAATACTTTAAAGCTTTACGTTGAATGGCCTCAAGGATCACGACAGAATTTTGGTATATAGGAGACCAGATCAGAGTCGCATACTCCAACTTGCTCCTGACAATAGTAAAAAATACAGTCATTAATGTATCAACGTTGGAGAAACCCTTCCAGTTTCTGATACAGAAACCAAGTAGTCGAGTGGCAGCCGACGAGATATTGAGTATATGCTCAGTAAACGTTAGCTTGGTATCAAAAGTGACTCCAAGGTCTCTATAAGAGGTGCATCTGTCTATAACCTGACCATTGATGTTATAATTATCATAAATTAAATAGTTAACCTTTCTTGTATAAGTCATAACTTTACATTTCGAAACATTCAGACTGAGACACCATGACGAAATTAGAGCTAAGTCATCTTGCAACATGACGCAATCCTCGACTGTCTTGACTAACGTGAAGATTTTAAGGTCATCAGCGAAAAACAAATGGAAACACTTCAGTTCAAAAGACAAGTCATTAATAAATATCAAAAACAATAATGGACCTAGATTTGACCCTTGAGGTACCCCGGACGTGGCCCAATAGTAACTCGATCTATGACCACCATATTCGACAAATAACCTTCTAGGTTTCTGCTTACGCGACTACTTCAGTAAAAAGCTCTGGCGACATAGTATTTGTTTTTATCTAAAAACAGAATATCAAGCTGCCTATCGGGGCATACCATTATAATATCGGAAACGGCAAATTGCTGCGGCTTAAAAAAAATCTTATGAACAATTCGCGCGCAAACGGGCTGCTCTCTCGATAGACAAATAAGTATTTTTGGGTGGTTCTAGTAAAAATTGTCGACGAAACCTAAATTCTAACGAATAAGCAACAAAGTGGGCGGAAACATTGTATATGCGTCTTCATGCGAGAATATTAAGTCTGATTAAGTTTACCTCGAAACTCCAAGTTGTCTTTCATGAGACGACATGACCATAAACGTACGCAGAGAGATATGTGTATATGACCGAGGCATAAGTCATAACTCTGTGTATCTGGGAAACTCCTCAACAACTTCTCAACTCCGCAATTACAGAAATGGCGGCCGATTAATCGACAAGTAAATTAGCAGCAAGCAGTCGTCAAGCTCCTGCAAACAGCCAGTTTCCAAATCAGACATCCAGAGCGCTTCAATGGACAGGGCTGTATTAATATCAGGCTTCTGAAGATAGTGTGTTTATTTCTAGTAAAGCTAGTTAGAAAAGATGGAATGTGCGGCCCTACTAGGCTGCACAGGGTAAGAAAAAACTGGTCTCCTGTCGAGACTACTAAGTAGGATCTCTTGGGTCTTGAACCTGAGCTGGGGATTCACGGACGCCTGGTAAGTGGAGCAGGGTGTCCAAAGTCGCATCTTGTCATTAACTCAAAAAGTACGAAAAATAGATAAATAACATATTTTAAATGCTCACTTTATAATCAATAGTGTGAGACTTTCACAGCCATCGTCCAAACGATTCATTCTTTTAGGGCTGCTCGGCTTGCAACGGTGTCCGTTAGTTCTTGTTTCGCCATCCCCAGTGGATGGCATCTTTAGAAGCGGTTAGATCTCTTCATTGCCTTCCAAAAAACTGATCAAGCTGGGGCCTGCGATGGCTATTTGAGTAACATTTTTCCTTTTGCA